CTTAGTGTTGATAAATAAGTCAGTCAGTATCTCGTACACTTCTTTATATATAGATGCATAAGCAAGTGAATAAGATTGAAAACTATTAATAGTAGGCACTGAATTCCAATAACATAGCAACTATTGTTGTATTTTCCCAATACATTTTCCTATTGCGCAATGTCATCAAATTTATTAAAAAAATCAGTGTTATTTGCAGATACAAGTCCAAAAATTCCAGTTACAATTCCAAACAATTCCAGTTACAATTCCTACAATTCCAGTGAAAATTTCAACAATTCCATAACTTTGTACACTATAATTCCTCCGCGGTTTACCCCTCGTTTCAAACTGACACAAATTATCCACCTTTTGGCTTAATGGGGAACATAATAGTGTTTCAAATCATTTATTTGCGCAGGGTATCGCCTAAATGCAATAAAATAGAGTTTTATTAAAATAGATACATCTATTAGAGGAGACCGTGGGAGATCGACCATCACTTATCTGATAACCAGATAAGACATATTTTTTACGAAATTTTATTGACACGTCTATGGGAACTTGCCATTTGAAAAGTGTTCATGGCTATTTTTAATTAAAAAAAATTTTAATCATTTTTTTTATAACCTTCACTTTTTTGATAACCGAACAAATTTAATTTAACAGATAGTTTTTAACATGGAGAATATGCCTCGGTAGGCTTGTTTACTTATTTCTGTTAATGGCTATCTGGCAAGCAGGTATGAACAGGTAAGTCAATATAGGTAGCTACACCGATATGTTAACCAATAAAAATTGATAACAGAAAAGAGATAATTTAGTTACGAAAATAATCGTATAGGCTTGCCTGCAACAAACTGTTCATGTAATAATAATGTCATGCTTTAAAATTTTAAAATCGGAACAATTAAATATGTGCGACAGAGAAAATAAAACGTGTGACAGAACAAGACACAACATAGCCAGGCATATTCTCCGTATTAAAAACTATCTGTTAAAATTAAATTTGTTCGGTTATCAGAAAAGTGAAGGTTATAAAAAAATTGATTAAAATTTATTGAATTAAAAATAGCCATGAACACTTTCATAAATCAATAAAATTTCTTAAAAAATATGCCTCATCTGGTTATCAGATGGGTGAAGATCGATCTCCTACGGTCTCTTAGACTAATCCTAATATAAATAAAAAGTAAAAAAAGTTTAGGGCTTTGAACAATTTTACCTCAGCAAACATACCAATCTTATCTAATTATATCCATTTAATAAAAGTTTAAATTTCAAATGAGTTGTTTAAAAATTGTATTTATATGCGCACCGCTGGGAATTCTTGGTGATATTACGTGTCTCGAGAATATTAAGAGCTTTAAATGTATGCAACGATAAGGCAGCAGTCTACAGATACGTTTAAGAAAAAAAAGGTAGGAAAACATCCCATTTAAAAACTACTAGATATTTAATTTTTATAGATTTAATACAGAATGACGCGTTGTTTTTTTTTGAAATTACTTTCTAAATTTTTCAAAATAAATACTTGTATAAGGTTTACAAAAAATTAGTGGTTTATCCACCCTAAATTTTGTTATTATTAGTATTTCCTGAAAATTTCACAAAAATCGGAACTAAAAATAAAGTCTCTGAAGGAATTATATATTTTCGAGGTTAAAACCCTACCTTATGAATTGATTTTTGGGAAATGTTATACTTATTCCAAGCTTCAAAATATACAAAAATCATGATTTTCCTCGGTGATATGTAACCATTTTCTAACTAAACAGTTTTAAAAGGTATGACTTTTCAGTCTGATTATGTGGCCAGTTTTTCATTTTTGAAAGTGGAGAATTGCTGATTTTAGTTTTTTTATAGCATATATTTTATATAGCATATATAAGTTAAATATAGTTTTTGGTCAGAATTCCATAAAAAGGGCAGTTTAAATATTTACTGTTACATGGTGATTCACGAATAAATCACAATGTTATTAACTTACTAAAAAGTCACTAAAGAAATGCAAGGCCTCGTTTTAATAATTCCAAAATATAATTATTTTTTCTAGTCGGCTGCATGGTTCACCCTGTGTAACAAGTAAACAGCGAAATCTTTAATCTCAAAATTGTGAACCGGTAGATATTAACTTAATGAAATAATTTCTCTGCGTCTATTTAGGAAAGGTACTGAATACTAATATAACTAAATTTGAGAAGCAACTGAATTAGACTGGATTTAAAATAATAATGAATGAATTTCGAGTTCCTCGGGTTTGGGTATTTATTCCCGTTTTAATGACTCTTTGTGACGTCAATTTGACGTAACTCCAGTGGGAACGAATTTGGGTGGATAAAAAGGGGTGGTAAATTTATTACGAGCCTTGAGCAATTCTCGGAATTTTGTGTCGATATCATATCGAAATCGGTCATAATATTCGAAACTGACTTGAGATAAGCGCGTTAAATGTTTTGATGATTATTACTTCGTAAAAAGAAATATGTTTTATGGAAGTTTTTTAGGTCGAATTTTCATGGGATAACTTTTCTGGTTATTGAACTTATTCCATGTAATATTAGAGACACCGCGAACAGAAATATTGCTTTTATTTATTAGGCATCAAAGATAGGATTTAATTATCTAAAATATTTTTCGTTAAAATGAAAGAATTTGAATTTAAGAATTCAACTTTTCTTTAATAAAATGGAATTGAAATACTATGAAGATACCCGGGTCAGGTAGGTCACAGTACATCCTTAAAATAAATAACAGAAGTCTTAATTGTTTTTCTATTTGACTCTTCTTACAATACATACAGATATGAGATTAATAGGAAAATAAAAGACATTTTATAAGCAAATTTTTATTCTCTCGATTTGTTGGTACACGTCACAAGGTGTATCAGAAGAAATTATAAATTTTAATAATTATTTCTCCGTTTTCTTGTGATCTAAACGTACAAGGTGTGACAGCAAAGTAATGAGATTTATTTTTTTTTACAATATTTTTTTATTCTTTTACATAAATGTTATCCCCTTCAAAGTAGCTCCCTTGGGCTGCTATACATCGGCAGAGGCGTTTCTTCCAATCTTCGTAGCAATATTAGAAGGCTTCAACTGGAACCACCTTAATCATCTCCCCGGTTATGTTCAGGGGCTGGTAACTCAAATGGAAAAACATGAGGCTGGTAATTTAGTACCACTCCAATTAACGGGATGGCGCTCGTATCGAACTGTCATGTCAATTGTCAGCTCGTCAAAACTTCAAACTCAGATAAAATAAAATGGCTGTTGTATTTGAAGGTGTATTGAATTTTGACTCATCTAGAATCTAGATTTATTTTTCAACACCTTTCAATTTTAAGCATGTTTTCAAAAGATGGGAAGATGGATTTCAGCAACAAACAATAAAGCACTCCCAGATATTGGTAGTATTGCAATTTATACCACATTAAATATGCAGTCGTCCCAAATTGTAATAAGTGTCTTAAGAAAAATGCACCATCACTGTACCAACGGTAAGTAATAGTTACAAACTTGTATTTGATTCAGTGTTAAAATAATTGGTTTGTTATTTAAATTTCTTTTTGTTTTCAGTTTTTAAATGATCATTTTTGTAAAGAAAATGTTGGCCCTCCAAAATACCCTGTCGATCGATGAAATATTTGAGCCTCAGCCATCAATATCAAAAATTGATTCAATGCCATTGACATCAAACAAGAAAACACCCTAAAATCTTCAAGGTTCCAAACGTGTGTAAGTTTAATTTATGCTCAAAAGTTAAATTTATTTATCACCCTGCCCACATGATGAATAAAAATTACAAAAACTACAAGTATAAATGAATCAAGAAAACAATTATCGCATGAAGAAATGCTCCTCAACCTAACTAGTCAACTCAATAACCGTATGGCAAATTTTATCCACACTCAAATTTGCTTCGATAGTAAAAAAGGATGATGGATGCTTCAACCTCAATTTTTTCAAACTTATTTGCCACTCCAAGTCGCAAAACTTTTATAAAGGTCTTGAGCACTTATATATGCTGATTTTGTTACAGAAAACATTTTTGATAGGTTTGTTTTATAAATATTTAATTATTTAAATGGTGTAAATGCATATTTGTTTGAGTATTTCCATGTTTAAATAGACAAATTATATGATGCGGCGTTAATTTACTGTAATAAATAAAATAAAATAAATTGCATTTTATTTCAAGTTTGAAATTAATGCAAAAATATAATGAAGTAAAATCAAATAAAGATAAAAATTGGCAAAATATTTGACTAGTTTCAAATCACAAAACAGTCAATATGATTGTTTTATGATTTAAAACTAGTCAAATATTTTTCCAATTTTTTTGCTTTATTTAATTTCGTTATTACATTTTTGCGCTGCTACAAAGTTAAATTTCAAAAAGCCCGCTCGTGGCGGCCATATTGAATTTTAGTACCACTCCAATTTGATAGATGGCAGCACATCGACTCATAATTTTACCATTGAGTTTCCCATCTATTCAAGTAATCTATGGTTATGTTCCTTTGGATGTTATCAACAGTACCCAGATGACGTCCTTTCAAGTAGGTCTTGTTCAAAAACAAGAAAAAGTAACATAGACTGCCATCAGGCGAATATGGGAGCTGTAAAATGACAGGGATTCCTTTTTTCGTCAAAAACTGGTTAGGGAACAACTTTCCTATTGGTCCGTATTTTTTAATAATACCTTCTGTTATTTACATCAAGCATCGCTAGGAGGGACTCGGGAAGTCATGTGTAGGGAAGTCGGCAATGTTGCCCAATCGCATTTTGTTACCAGTCTCATTGCTTTGGTGCCACATCTCATATTATAAATCTTAAGTAAAAATAGTTCGTGAGATGTTAGGGCGCGGCGAATGTCTTAAGTTTAAACCACGCTGAAGGGAACTTATTTTTTTACCTTTCTCAGTTTGAATATTAAATCTTACATAATATTCTTTCGGCTGAGAACATGACCTGATAATATAACGTATCTATTTTCAATTATGTCTGTATTTAAAGGTCGTTAGAAGGAGACACAGCGTCCGCCAGCACCTCAAATCACTTACCGGAACTTACCTCAAATCACTTACCGGAACTTATAGTGTCAAATTCCACTCAACCAACCTCTTCCGACAGCAACAATTGGTCACATTTTGCCTATTTAAACGGACAATTATCATCTACTTCAAAAGTATCCGAAATCAACATGCAAACCGATGCTCCCAGCGAAGTGCCTACAACCTTTAACCTCGTAGAATATTTGAAGGACGTGTCTCAATGTTCCGAAGAAAAAATCCACCACGTGTGCAAGAATTTGTGCGTTTCTACCTCGAAGAGACCGCCCGATAGCACGTTGAATTTGATACTTAACAGATTAATCGATGAGAGTGTGATAGAATTGGACGATAGCGATGTTGGGACGGATTCCAGTTTAGGGTCATCCAATGAAGACTTATACAACGTCACTTTTCCGAAACCGATGAACAACGAAGTTGTTATAACCAAAGATAATGTTTCTAAAGTTGTTTTTCCGAAACCAATACTCAGGCCTGCTACTTTGCTAGCTGGTAGTTCGAATGGAAATAACGCAGCTCCTTCTAGACCTGTCCACCATCAGAACATCATTCAACCGGCTAGATTGAATATCGGCAATGCCAAGAGGACAAATACATTTTTGGACGTAGAAGACTTTTTCAACAATATCAAGGAAAGGAACAATAATGAAGGTAAAAAATATGTAATTTATTTAAATTTATTGTTTCTTTGTATTTTAAGGCTGAAAATTGGCGATTAATGTATAGGAAAATTTTGACCCTTGCCTTTGAACACCCTTTAAAAAAAATACGTGTGGCACTCGGGGACTGCCGCGGTAAAGCTATTGCATAGCATTTTTTATCAACTTATGCAATTATAAATAGTTATTTATTTTATTTATGCAGTATTTTTTTTCTTTGATATTAATTCAAGTTTTTTCTATATTAATTCAAGTCACACTTTTTGAGCGTGGTGACTGATAAGAAAACAATTTTTTTTCTTTTATTGAATAAATGAGAAGTTAATATTGTTTAAAATATATTTATTATCTTACAATACATGTAGGTTATTCAGGAATTTTTATCTTTGAAACTATAGGTTTATGGTAACTGAAATAAGAAACATAAGTTTGAGACTTGATATCCTCTAAATATCTGGAAAATACCCCGTCAGTGGTGGTCCCATATTTTGTTGTGGATTCTTGTGGATCATTATTCATTTTCAAATTCAATTTTTCCGAAATTGTGTCTAAAAGAGATAGAATCAGTTATGAGCAGTTAGCAGCTAGTCTACACGCATATGTCTAGTCGCACACACAAACACCGTGCCGAAGTCTGCTGAACTGAACGACGTTAGACGATGTAGGGATGTTCGATATACATCGATGCATCGAAAACATCGATATTTTCGATGCGATGCATCGGTATTATGCGATGCATCGAATGCTTAGAAATATATTCGATACATCGATGTATTTTTCTCGATATATCAATTGCCTAATAACAAGAGTTTTTACTTCAAATGAAAACATCTCGGCAAACATAGTCTTTATAAATTTAGTAAAAAATAAACTTTTTATAATTTTATTTTTTATTTAACCAATTCTATGAATCGCAAACATCGATTATTTTTTGCGTAATACTGGTATACCTATATACATCTAGAAAAACATTTTACATTTCTCTAAAAAAAGGTTTTGAGTTTCAAATGTTGATATTTTCGATGCATCGCAAACATCGATGTTTTTCCCCGATGTATCGAAAAGTATCGATGTCACGTAACGATGCATTACATCGGAAAAAACATCGATGTATTTTGTCAGTGGACATCCCTAAGACGATGCACGGCTTTTAACGCCACACTGCTATGCCGGTCGGAGTGGGGGGTGTTAGGTTTATTTTCGTTACGGAATTTCTTGATTCGGTCGGTGCGCTCAAAGCCCGCGATAAAAGCTATGCAATTTTATCTATTTTTTCATTTTTTGATTTTTCGATTCTTCGATTTTTGTTAGTGAGTCGTAGAAAAAATATACTGTACAACTCCAGTGGGCTCGAACTCACTCGTGAACGCGGCCAAAAAGCACGCTGTCTCACCTAGCATTGTGTCTAAAAGAGATATAATCAGTTATGAGCAGTTAGCAGCTAGTCTACACGCATACGTCTAGTCGCACGCACACAAACACCATGCCGAAGTCTGCCGAACTGAAACGACGTTAGACAATGCAAACAATGATTTTCGCGGAATTTCTTGATTCGATCGCCGCGATAAAAGCTAGGAAATAGCTTAAAAATTAATATCTAATATTTACGCCAGCCGGGAACATTTGTGTTACCAATTTATTAGAAGCCAGAGAAAACTCTTCTAGTTCTTGTATTGCATAAATGTTCCAGTCCGCAGACGTATATTTAACTCCGCTTCATACTAATACGAATAGGGTCAGATAAAACCTTCCATGGCTTTAACGCCGCACCGCTGTGCCGGTCGGAGTGGGGGGTGTTAGGTTTATTTTCGTTACGATGTTACGAAATTTCTTGATTCGGTCGCCGCTCAAAGCCCACGATAAAAGCTATGCAATAGCATAATAAATTATATTTGGCTTCTCAAATTAATTTACAATAAGTATCTAAAAGTATTAGATGTACCTAGTAACAATTTATGTTCTAAAATCAACTGATAAATAAACATATACAGTGTTACTCAAAAGTCCCTTATATATGTTGAATGTTTATACTTAGGATAATAAAGTTTGGAGAGTAAAAATAAAAGGTTGTAAGCTTCTCTTTTAGTGGTAACAGATGATGTAATGGTTACAGATGACGTCACAGGGCCAGTGTGACCAATAAGTTGAAATGGGACCTTATGGCAAGTGACACCTTGTTTGAATGGTGTTTAGTCATATTAATTTTATTTGAATTTAGGGTAATTTTGATAGATAAACTTAAATAAACACTAAAATCAGGTACCTCTCATTAAAAATGGGTCCCGCTGCATGCAGTTTGTTTCCACTTTTACCAATTTATTAAGATAGCTTACTTTGTCAGTCGTCACTGTACTATTTTGTTTATTTAAACACTTAAACGTCTCTTCAAACAATAATTAAACTAAAAATTCAAAGTATAAACACCTGTAAAAACGTAGAAAAGTAAAGTTTTTGTATTCTTACCAGTGGCGGACTTTTGAATCTTTATTAATTAAATGCGAAACTATAATTTTAGACTTGGTTAAACAAGAAAATTTTGTCATCAGAGTGCTTTTCTGATTCTTATAAAAATTATCGACGTGATTGAGAAGGTTTCATAAACTCAATCAAATGTGATGGTGGAGATGTTTTAATTGCGGTCGACAAATCTAATTCGCAAAAACGCTCTACCCCAGAGAGCTCTTATTAATTGATGAATTTTAATTTAGGAACATGAACCCTTAAAGAACTTAGTTACCGAGATAAAAGTTTTAAATCAAAACTAAAAATTTGCTATAAATCAAAAACCTTTAATTTTTTTTCAAACTTGGTGACCAATGTCCTCGTTAAAAACGTAATATTTTGGCATAAACTAACTTTTTAAAATTTTACTAGTGACGCGCTATCACGGTTAGTGACAACTTTTAACCCTCCATTTTTTAAAATTATTTGTTAAAATTTAAGTTAAAAAAGTAATTATACCTTTTATGGAGCTAAAATGAACTGTGTTGTAAAATTTGCATCTACACAAAAGTCTGCAAGTACTTAAATTATTTGTAACTACCCAATATTTCTAATCTAGTAGGCACGTATAAAATTTTTAATAGTTTGTGTATTTGACAAGATTAAATTAGAAAAAATATTTAAAAGTATTTTTGATTTATGGCAAATTTTGAATTTTGATTTTAAACTTTCAACAGCCTGTATCTTGGTAAGTAAGCGATTTAAGGGTTAATGTTCCTATATCAAAATTCATCAATTGCTGAGAGCTCGCTAGGGTAGAGCGTTGTCGGTCGAATATAGTGACACCTTGTATAATAAACAGATTTCACATTTTATGGCCAATAGAATATTAAAATAATTGTGCACATTGTTTTTGTTACTTGCTGGGCATGATATAATCTTTAAATCGCATGAAATATTTTTTAAGGCAGAGAAATGTTAAAATAATTCTTATAAATTTGCGCAAATTTTGGTACTATTTGCTTCGTTTGAAATTGTAAGCAACTCAGCGGAAATAACTCTTCTTTCACTACTTATAGGGGATCTGGAAAAAATAACAAACATACACAAGAACATTTGAATTACCTGAAAGAGGTGAATTCCACTCACCTAGTTTTACTATTTAATCATGCTGAAAATACCTGTTAATTAGATTTGGATGGAGATACAGAACAAAGAACCATTTATAAAAATCAGAGTTTTGGCGTTTTTAAAATTTGATAAACAATTTTAAAATAACCTTGTAATAACTATCAAAAAAAAAAAAAAAATACTACAGTAAACTCTTAAGGGTGTTATATGATACTTGTTATTTTATCTATTTTTTTTATAGTGTTTTAAGCTCTAATGATTTTGGGAGTGGGTCAGATTATTAAATAACTCGTATTACTTTGAAAAAGAATTTTGGGCGCCACTATATTTAAAACTTACTAAACTTGACTATCGATTAGTGATAAAAATATAGAAAATCACTAACAATTAAGTTATTATAATTAAACAAAGTTTTAGATAAGGTAGCAACAAATTCTAATTCACAGAGATTTACTTATTAAAATTTAGATGATTTATTGAAGTAAAATAATAGACTTATCTGTTGAACAGGAGGTAGTATACAAGGAGATTTGCATTAGCCTTCTTCAAAGGGACTCGAACGATACTCTTCGGACAGCACAGGTATTAATCTTCATAAACTCAAATCTCATACTTCTTTAGATGCAGCTTGAACTAAACCTCTTGATAGAAATCACCATAAACAGTGTAGATATACTTGAATTAAACTTCTAAGATATGACTTCGAAATGAACTTCTTCGATACAGCTTGAACTAAACTTCTAAACTACTAAACTTCTAAAACTTCTATAACTTCTATACCGTCTAGATATAGCCAGGCTACAAGGAAAAGGTAAAAATATCAAGAAAGGAACTAGGAGTTTCGCATAGGATCCAGATAAAATGCCGTTAACTAATAATTGAACAATTTAAACTATTAAGTGAATAGTTTCACAGAGACTAAAATTAATATGAAAAGGAAAAACCCCATTTAACATATTGTGACGAAAGTCTAATTTATTTAAAGTTTATTTATTTAAAAACACACTATTTACAATTTATTTCAGACGTACTATTTAATTTATATAATATTTCGACACTAACAATTCTAATTTATTTTTTACACTTTTACTTTTCAATACAACGTTCTATATTTAACTAAACTCGGCGCTGATACGTCGGCTATTTATATTAATCCAACTCCGCTACTGGAAAATGATAGAGGCTCGCGAAGATGACTAAACGGCACTCCCCGCCATTCCAGACGTTTCGAGTGAATCAGCGGCAGACATTCCGTCGTATTCTTGTACATTCGAGACGCGGTCCGGCTGTTTCCACACGTCAGCGTTTCTTCGATCACGAATTGGTTGCCATGTGAAGGCCGCGTGCGTACACAGGCACAGGGTCGGATTAGGGATATTATGACAATATTCAAATATAGTAAAGCATATTATCTCATTC